CATTTCGATCGTTTTGGCATACTGTGCTGATTTTTCCACTCTCCTCTCAAGCTGCCTCGAGTACTTCTCATTTTGTAAATATCATCATCGTCAGTTCCCTGGAATGGCGATCGTTGAAGTTTTTTCGAACTTGTTAAATGTTTGTGATTGATTACGTGTGTATAAATGATGAGGCTGTCGCAAATTGACGAATATGAATCGCAAGCAACGTGAATGTCAATGTAGTATTTCTTGTCGAGCTCGGCTTTACTCTCCAGTCAAGCTGCATTTTGCACAGTTTTTGAGAGTTGTAATAATGATTGGGTGTTTTTTCGATTCATGTTAAGAAATCATGCCTGTCGTAAACTGCGTTTTTGTATTGTACGACGTGGTGATATTCAGAAATAAAGACGAGTGAATGTGTTGCATACATGCAGCACCAATGTATGTATGGAAGAAAACCGGTTCCGACTAGATCCAACCTATAATTTCAATCAATTTCTTTCACCCACTGCAACAGTTTTGCATTCTGAATGTTAAAGTTTCATTATCAAGCGATGATGGTCCTATTCGCGTTAAATTGTTGTTCGTAACATCGATTGTTGAATAGTTGATTAATTAGAGATGAGTTGGAAGTGGTTTGGTTGCTTCACGAGAATGATTAGTTGAAATATTTCGAAATGAATCGCTAATCGTTTCTTTCGAACGACTCTCATCTCAATTGCATTATTTGAAAGTTGTTGTTGTTGTTGTTNGAAATAAATGAAAATCTATCGACAAGTTCTTCGAACGAACAAGTTTTCAGTAAAACAAAAATCTGGAAAGTGCTTCGTCAAACAAAATCACATCAACCGACTATTACCTTGTTCCACCATTATCACCGAGCACATCTGCGGAAGGTGGTATTTCTGTGAGTGGAAAAAACTGTTATTTCTACTTCAAATATTTTTGTTTTGCTCATTTGACGAGTTACGTCGACAGAAGCTTTCAACTGATCGAGGAGGCATTTTATCAGCGCGTATCTCATTGTTTTGTTTTGTTCTGTTTTTTTTTTCTTTTTCCAGCGAACTGATCCATCCGCATCAGTTCCCGTATAACTTTTCTGAATTTTTACGTTTTTCACTGAGTACACATCAGCTTCAAGCAATTTTTAACTTGTTCTGATGATGCGACGTGTTTGTTCAGCCGTTCAATGCATCGCTAAAGCTATTTCTTGTTTTGACCATATTTGAGCAGGTGAAATTTTAGCTGCCGAAATGGAAAACTAAACGCTTTATTGCCCACTTTAATTGTTCAATTGCTCAGTCTCACTTAATTGATGAAATTTTGATTCTGTCGGCTAAGTAAAAGCTAAAACAATAGAACGCTCGTTGTTTTCATTGAATTTCTCATCAGCTTTATAAATGACGAATGNTGTTATCCTCAACGAACAATTGGTTTCGCGAATACGCTATAGCCAGTCTTTCTTTTTCCAATTGTAAATGGTTACAAATGTCGGTTGTTTGAGGGCTCGGCCTCAGACTAAGCTTAGCCTCAGCCTCAACCTAAGCCTAGCCTCAGCCTCAGTCTAAGCGTGAGGCCGAGGCTACGCCTAGGCTAAGGCTGAGCGTCAGCCGTAGTGCTGTTGTGCGTGTGCACGCTTGCTGCTGTGCCCCCTCATACGACACTAGTGCCTGTAAAAGGTATTTGTTTCGTCTGACAATGAGTGTAATTTTCCAACTTTGATACGTGGATTGTAAAAACTGACGAAGTACGGATCAATGGAGAAATGGTGCGATACAGTGTGAGAACACTGTTTGTGCAGTAGACGCAGTGCGATAATCACTGAATGCCCGCAAATATTTGTACGCAAAACATCGAGTCAATGAATCATCAGCATTTGCACTATAAACGAATGTGAGATTTGTTGTCTTTCATTGCATCACTGTTGAGAGAGAAGGAAGGATTGGGAATGGATGGGATGGGATAGGATAGGATAGGATAGGATAGGATATAGGTGTAAGAAACACGACTCACTCGATCCAATTATCCAATCAGTGCAATCGATGAACGTCAAAAGTTTCATTGAACATCCATNGGATAGGATAGGATAGGATAGGATATAGGTATAAGAAACACGACTCACTCGATCCAATTATCCAATCAGTGCAATCGATGAACGTCAAAAGTTTCATTGAACATCCATCCACACGCATAGGTCACAAATGAACACATTTTCATATGCACATACACATATTGCTGCTTTCCTCAACATTAACAAAATTACTTCTAATTGTTAATCATTTCGTTGTTTTAACATATACTGCATATAATCGCTTCTAATTGTCAACGTATACTGACTGCAACGTTGCATATAACCAAATGGATATCACCAACTGAATACTGTTTTCACTGAATCGTACTTAAACGAATGCAGCATTTCAGCTGATCTAACCAACTCACCTACGATTATGTCGAAATGTGATTTCGTAAATGTGAATAATGTGCTCATAAAAATTCAAAAATTCGTCTTTTTCGATTCTGTTCAACAAAAAAAGTGCAATCGCCCTTCAACATTAGTTCCTCTCAAATGTCGTTCTCTATGTCTCGCACTTCGTATTCTTCGTCTCCTTGTATTCATCGGCTCCTTATGCTTGCAGTCACAATTCTTAGTTGAGGTAATCACTTGAACAATTTCTAGGATGTGGTCTCGTTAGACTTGTCGCATCGTAACAGTGTTTATCTATTTCGTTCGAAATCGTTTACGTTTATAATCGATTTTTAGTACAGTGCACTTTATTTATTATAGACCGTTTGCCTAATCGACAGCATGCATCCTTCGTTTCATTTCAGCTCCCATTACTGCCTGTTGGCTTATTTGCTATTCATATTTTGCTGCTGATCGGTAGTCAACGATCTAATTTCGGCGATTTATTGAATGTTGATATTTCAGATCATAATGTTGAAAATTTCAGGTATTTAACTGAAAATGATTCTCAGGATTTGTTATGCTCTATTCGTAGTGTTATGTATTTTAACATTGGTCACTTCATCCGTCGTATACCTCGATGTTGATAATTATGAAACTGTTATTAAAAGTGCACAGGTGAGATTCGTTTGATGCCGGCTACGTTCCATGTATAGTGCTAATATTGAGTGAATGCGAATTCATGAGCATTCGGTTGCATCAGTTAGATTGTTTGCGGAATGAGGGAGCAGGATGTGGGGTTTTCATTAAATNCATCATCAAAACAATTTAATCATATGCTAGCTTCCGTTGTCGTTCTTCAATACCTGAACTATAATATTTCTGATGAAAGTGGATCATGTTGAATGAAAACAATGCGATTCATCCTTTATTCAGGTTGTTTTTGTTGCGTTTTGTGCTGACTGGTGTCCATTCAGTCGTCGCTTGAAGCCGATTTTCGAGGAGGCTGCCCAAAAATTCGCTCAAGACAATCCGTCAGCAAGTGCTGTTTGGGCAATTGTTGACAGTGTTCAACAGGTAGGTGATCAGAATTTGTTAGTGGAATATTGCAGAATGACAATATTCGATGCAATGTTGATATTTAGGCAACGATCGCTGATAAATATTTCGTGAACAAGTATCCAACAATGAAAGTTTTCATCAATGGTGAATTGGCAACCAAAGAATATAGGTTAGTTAGTGGCGGTATTATTCTCGTTCATGAACATTGCTCCGATCAAAGGAGGCGAACAGATTTATTGAAGGAATTGATTCATTTGCTGTACGTCTAAATTGCGGTATTCCAAATGAATCTCTTTTGAAGGGCATCAAGGACCGTTGAGGCACTGACTGAATTCGTGAAAGAGCAATTGGCCACATCAATTCGTGATTTCAATTCGACCGAAGAACTCGAGCAGATGATGGACACGTCAAAGCGCAACATGATTGCCTACTTTACCGATAAGAATAGTGAAGAATATACCAATTTCAATGTTCGTTATGTTTGAGAACACTTTCATTCATACACACATTCGTTTCCGTACAAGCACTCTTTGATGCCCTTGCAATGGCTATCACCCAGATTGATTCCCATTGAAAAGCGCCGTGCACAGTNCATTTGATTTTGTAGAAAGCAGCTATGATACTTCGCGAGGATTGTGCATTCTACGTGGGTACAGATCCGGCGCTCAAGGCTCTGAATCAAAACAAAATTATCTTCAAGGACCCCGATACTGAAGACGAACAACTGGTGAGTTTACTTTTGCGTGATCCTATATGAAGTCACTTGATCGGCACAAAATAACGTGAATGAAATTTCTTTGTGTTATCATTAGTATTCTATTGACTCGGTTGTTGTGCTCAGTTCAGATTTGAATATGAAATCATTTTATTGTTAGTGCATTTCACTTCAAATGAAGAACGCAAATTTGTATCCAAATAGGGACGAATTTCAGTGGTGTTTCATGCAAAATTTCAGTTCTCTGGTAACTTCTCGGACTATGAGTTCGTCAAACAATGGCTAACAGACAAATGCATACCACTGGTTCGTGAAGTCACTTTCGAGAATGTTGAAGAGTTGACCGAAGAAGGCCTTCCGTTCCTGTTGTACTTCAGAGATCCTGCTGATAAAGAGGGTGATAAACTGTTCACCGAATCGGTACACTTTGCGCTTATATTCCCTTTGATTGGAAACACTTACTCACTAATGGTCAAACAATCAACAAACTAGAGTCTGCCGTTAAAAACTGAAATCGCATCAAAGTTAAATGATCTCCAATTACGGTTCATGACCGTTACACCTTAACACTTGCTCCACAAAATCTTACAAACATGGAAGTGAAATATTCAAAAGATTACATTCGCAAGTTATATCTGCATTGTTTTAGGTAATTCGAGAGCTATCAGATCAAAAAACAGCCGTCAATGCGCTATTGGCCGACGGTCACAAATTTGCTCATCCGTTGAAGCATCTTGGTAAAACCGAAAAGGATTTACCTGTGCTAGCGATTGACTCCTTCCAGCATATGTACATCTTCCCAGAAATGAGTGAATTGCATAAGCCCGGAAAGCTTCGTCAGGTACTCACTTTTCGAATGCTTTCAATTCACTGGGATCATGCGATCGTCAAATATTTCTTGTAATGACCGCCACTATATCCGATAATCGTTTGTCACAACATTTCAACTTTCCTCTCTATTTCAGTTCATAATGGATTTGCACTCGGGAGAGTTGCATAGAGAGTTTCATTCATCGCTCGATAAGAAAATGGCCGATCTGCAGAAATTGGTCGAAGAACAACCAGAAGTTTTCAACGATACCGATCATAGTTCAGATGATCCATTGCCACCGGCTAGAATGCCCGAACCAACGCCGCCACCGTCAGTATTCAAAGAGCTGAGACCATCCGAAAAACGATACTCATTGCTCAAGAAAACCGAATTATAAAGTTGTCCTTGCGAACCTATTACATCCACCATATTATTATTATTACTATTGTTATTGTTATTATCATATTCCATGCTCTCTGTTGTGATTCCGGAAAAATGCTTCTTCCATTCCAGCATTTACAAATTTTAATGTGGTCGTTTGAGAACAGTGAAAACACAAGAGGGGATTATCATCGATTCAATTTCACGTCCCTTCTAGTGATCAATGTGAATTGTTTATGTTGTAAGCATGTAGCTCACAATTAAAGCAAACCAATATATTAGAGATCAATAATATTATTGGGGCGATTAGCTGAGATCCACAAACATTTACAGTGATTTGTGTTTGTACTTTCTTGGAAGATCAGCGATGTAAAGAGAGACATTAAATTGTGTGAAGAGAGAGTTTATTTTCGGATGAAGCAAAATGTGATAGTTCAATTCAAGTTGTTGTTTACCAATGTGCTGCTGAATCATTTTCGTTCGCATCTATCTCGTTCTTATTTTTCTTTCGTTTCTTCTTCTCGAAATCTTCGTCGATGTTCAAAAACCACACGAATGCTTCGCATGAGCTTTGTTGGGTTCTTGTAGAGTAAGACGTCAGACTAGTAGCGTGCAAAAATGTGAATATGGTAGGATGCACACGATCCGACTCATTAATATTACTTCGAGTTTTAAGACAGAATAGTTTCTGAGCCAGTGAAGTATATCAGTTAAAATGAAAGCTTTTCTGAGAAGCCCAGTTGATCTGATACTCAAATCAGAATCTCTTTTGAAAGTTAGAGAGGTTTTGTGAGATATAAGTTTTTGGAAAGGATCCTTCGAGACTATAAATTTCCCTCTTCAAAAGTGTAAGTGTGCTAATGCTTTCTATCACCTTTCTTCTGTTGCTATTTGTTCACGGCAGTTGGACTCCAGATTACTAAGTATTTGGGGGCAGTCGCCCTCGGATAATTGCTCTTGAATCATTGCAATCCTCAAACATTTAATTTGAAATCATCTGGGTCACTCATCTTGGAAACAATTGCTATGGAGTGGCAGTTATTCCGCATGCAGTTGTCCGAAGGCATTCAGCCGACGGGCAGTTAATATTCGAAAGTAGCCAACAAAATATATGCGGTAATCCTGACGTCTTCGTTAATTGTCAACAAAAACTTATGCACTATTGTTACCTATTCAGTGATATGTTCATAGCTGCTGGTGTTGTTGGCTTTCGTTGATAACTTTGAAGTGTTTTGATTAATTCTAATTTATTTTGGTCTGTGATAAGGTGACTATCAATACTGGTTGTGGCATTCGCGATTATCAATTTGCTGTTTTCTGCGAAAAGATTTTTGAATAAATTCTAATTGTAAGTTTTCTCACATTGCTCCATAATGGAACACTGCGCTAAATTTCGAATGCATTAAAAGCAGCCGTTCGCATGGTATTATACAATAAACAAGAGCATTTATATAACATTGATTTTGAAATTCTCACTTGCTGAAAACATTTTATTGTTATTTCATCATCAATTGCAATGTACCTCCGCAAGAACACCTACGATTTGAACTGGCTGAAGAGCATTTGACTCAACTGTCATTCGAATGACACACGCAAAAAATAGCATACTCAGAGAACATGTTGCTTTGTTTTGGTTGAAGCACCCTTTGCACTTCTCAAAGAAGCACTACATAAACAGAGCAGTTTACATAGAAGATGACTCGGTTTGTTGAAAGATGAAAAAGCCGTTTTTCAGTTTCAAAAATTAGTCCAGTCATGACTTGGAACCGGAGTAGATGCTCATTAAGTGGAGCATTTCGAAAGAACAATCATGAAAGTTACTCAAAATGTGATCAAACAAATATTATCTCTGAAAACATCAACGTGTGAATGCGGAAAATAATTAATTGACTTCGACACGAATCGTGTAAAAATTGATTCCTAATGAATTCTGTATATAGGATATTAAAGTACGAGATGATATCCGTAATATTTCAATTAATCAACTCGCATATTCATTACCATATAACATTCTAAGTGCATTTTCGAATCTAGTGAAATTGTAACATACCATTAGAGGGGTAGCGCATGTCGTTGACAGCTGATCGCGATGACTGGAACGGAACCGATTTTTGACATTTATCCCATAGAAGCTGATCTAATGATATCATTAGAATGTTATTCATTTTAAGAGTATATTCGCTTTTGGCACGATATTTTCCTTGATTATTCGCTCGAATCCCCGCTCCCCAGAAATCATTGGGCAATAAGCGAGAGTAGCCCAAAAGCTCTGTGCTTGCCAAATCAATAATCCCATTTAGAATTTTATGAAGAAAGGTGATTTCCAGGAGTGAGTAACAATGCTAGCTGCGTGCAAAAAAAAGCCAAGGAAGGAAGAATATGATATTTGTGATATTGTTGATAACAGAGAGGCAGGCTCTAATAAACTCATAATGAGTTGGATTTGCTGACTAAACAACATCTCTCGAATTGTTTCTTACAGAAATCAACGGAAATTGCACCCATGAATAATAATGTCCGGGTGAAATACAATGTGAGTGAGTGGAAATTGTTGACAGAAGTGATTCGAAGGGCACGGTATAACCGGAAAACATTGACTTTGATGAAGAATAAACAGTAAGGTTGGGAAAGGGATCACGTCAAGTTTACTCTCATCAACAGTTTACTCTGTCTGCTTAGATCCAGCGATAACTCTTTACTTACTGAAACATTCGATGCTCAGTTCAGAGCAGTATTTAAGTTCAACCATTTGTACACACTTCCATCAGTTCCTAACCATTATGCAATCCACATCAATCACAATTTTCCTTACTATCGCTTTGGTACCGTTGAATGTGATTGTTATTGAGGTAATTTTTTTCATTATTTTTAACATTATTATACTCATCATTATATCATCGTAGTTCACTTCTGTCGTATCATTTACTGCTGTTTGTGAGACCGAAAAGATATCATTGTAACATAAATTTACAAATAGCTAATCAGATAAAGCTTCGGCGGCCTAAATCATACAGATCAGAAAGTCTATTTCAATCGTTCAGGCACACTTGGCGCGTTTTCGACGGGCTTGCACGTGTCCACCAGCAACATGTACGTGCATGCCAACATCCGGTGCAACTGAAGTATCGTGCCATTGCATTCCACCGGAAGACTGTCCATGTTCTGCTGAAGAACAAGAACAGCAGTGTATGCCTATTTGTCAGAATGTTTGCGAGGCGCAATGCACTGGTGAGAATTGTGGACCGATGTGTGAGAGTATCTGTACGGATTCGTGTACGAATGCGTCGTTCGTTGTGTCGCCCGTCATGAGTGATAGTGACAATAGCACCGACATTCAGACACTATCACCCGCTCCGCAAATTGACCAGCAAGCAACATCGGAAAATCCATTCGAACCTTCCGATGAATCGTCAAGCTCACCACTGCCCGTCTTTCGCGATGAGCCGCAAAGCCCAACCCAAACTCTGTCGCCATATCCTTCTGAACCACCTTATTCTACTCAATTCACCAGCGAAACTTCTTCGTTCACCAGTCCGATGCCCTTGAGTACTTCATTACCAACAACCGACAGTGTGGAAACGGAACCACAGACTCAATCAACAGTTTCAGAATCCGAGCCACCATCTACATCAATGATCACACAACAACCAGATACATTCGCAGCCACTGTGCAGCCATCCACACAACACAGTCAAACAACATCTACTCCCTCGAACACAACCCATTCACCTTCAACAAACGAAACACATTCAGGATGTACTATCTGCATTCATTTCCCCTATGTGCAACCCTCTGAATCATACGGATCTTATCGACCCTATCATCCAGTACCGTATCACCCAGAGCCCTATCAACCAGAGCCCTATCAGCCGGAGCCCTATCAGCCG